ACATGTTGAGTTGCATCCTCTAAAATTCACATGTTAAGGCCGGTGGTGGCTCATGCTTGTAATCCCAGCACTTTGGGAGGCCGAGGCGGGCAGATCACCTGAGGTCAGAAGACCAGCCTGGCCAAAATGACAAAACCCTGTATCTACTAAAAACACAAAAATTAGCCAGCCATGTGTGGTGGTAGGCGTCTGTAATCCCAGCTACTCAGGAGGCTGAGGCAGGAAGAATTGCTTAAACCTGGCAGGCAGAGGTTGCAGTGAGCCAGGATGCCGCCATTGCACTCCAGCCCGGGTGACAGAGCAGGACTCTGTCTGAAAAATAAATAAATAAATAAAATTCACATGTTGAGGCTGGGCACAGTGGCTCACGCCTATAATCCCAGAGCTTTGGGAGGCCAAGGCAGGCCGATCGTGAGGTCAGGAGCTTGAGACCAGTCCGGCCAACATGGTGAAATCCCGTCTCTACTAATATACAAAAAATTAGCCAGGCATGTTGGTGCACGCCTGTAATTCCAGCTACTCGGGAGGCTGAGGCAGGAGAATCTTGAGCCTGGGAGGTGGAGGTTGCGGTGAGCCAAGATCGTGCCATTGTACTCCAGCTTGGGCAACAAGAGCAAATCTCCATTTCAAAAATGAAAAATAAAAATAAATTAGCTGAGTGTGGCAGCACGTCCCTGTGGTCCCGGCTACTTGGGAGATTGAGGTGGGAGAATCACTTGAGCCCAAGAGATTGAGGTTTCAGTGAGCCGTGATGGCACCACTGCACTCCAGCCTGGGCGACAGAGCAAGACCCCATCTCGTAAATAAATAAATAAGTAAGGTGACGGGGCAGGGGTGGAATCTGGACACAGACCTGCACGCAGGAGGAACACTGTGTGAAGATGAAAGCAGTTGGGGTGAGGTGTCTACCAGCAAGGACACCAGCACACAGGAAAGGTGTGGGATGGACAACGGAGGACGGCCTGGGTCAGCTCGGAGCCCGGCAAGTCCCCAGTCTTGGTGGCTTAACCCACAGACCTTTATTTTTCAGTCGTTCAGAGACACCTTCCACAAGATCACTCAGGGATCCAGCTCCTTCCACCCTCCCCTAGGCATCCCCTCCGTTCAGTCGGTGGATGGAGAGGAGAGAAACTGAGGCCGTGGCAGGCCAGACCTGGCAGGGGCTTTCCAGGGATCTTGTGAAAATTTCTAGCCCAGTGTGGTGGCTCACTTGAGCCCAGGAGTTTGAGACCAGCCTGGACAACATAAGTAGACTCTGTCTCTATTTATTTGTTTATTTAGTTTTATTTTTTGAGATGGAGTCTTGCTCTTGTCACCCAGGCTGGAGTGCAACGGTGAGATCTCAGCTCACTATGATGCCTCTGGGTGCAAGTGATTCTCCTGCCTCAGCCTCCCGAGTAGCTGGGATTACAGGTGCCCACTACCACACCTGGCTAACTTTTCTTTTTTTTTTCAGTAGAGAGGGAGTGTCACCATGTTGAGGAGGCTGGTCTCGAACTCCTGACCTCAAGTGATCCACTGCCTCGGCCCACCTTGGCCTCCCAAAGCACTGGGATTACAGGCATGAGCCACCACATCCGGCCAGCACCACATTTCTAACAAGCTCCCTAGTGATGATGGTGCGGGTCCAGGGACCCAACTTTTGAGTATTGAGAGGTGCCACGCCCACCATTGCCCTGCTAGGCGCACCTCACGTAGGGGAGGTGGGGAAATGAAGCCCAGCGTTTGTGCAGGAGCTGGAAGAATCGGGGTCAGTAAACACAGGGAGGGGTGCAGCTAGGAAGCAGGCAGGAGGAACATGGCTGTCCCAGGAAGGGGGACAGGGCAAAGTGTCATTGCTGCTGAGAGTGGGTGAGGTCACCACTGGGACTTGCGGCCCCTCAGCAGGGGCGTCTTTCTGAACACCTGGGAAGGCCCCAAAAGAGCCCACAGGGCTGCTCTTAGGGGCTCAGAGGGGCCCACAAACCTCTATCCCACCCATTACACACCTAGCTATCTCCCAGGAGAGGTGGCCCACTGACTCTCCTGAATACGGAGCGTGGAGGTGAGGTCTGGCCTGGTTCATCTCTCCCAGGGCCTCCTCAGCCCTGGAGAAATCTGTGGAGAACCCCTGCCCACAGATTTCAGGGGCCTCCTTTTGCCTTGGTGGCCCTCATGTGCCCTGCCATGAGGCACTAGTGGACCCCAGATGGAACACTGTCCCCAAAGGAAGGACAGGCAGGGCAAGGTGGCTCACGCCTGTAATCTCAGCACTTTAGGAGGCTAAGCGGGGGCGGATCACCTGAGGTCAGGAGTTCGAGACCAGCCTGGCCAACATGGCAAAACCCCGTCTCGAAGTTGCAGTGAGCCAAGATCGCGCCATTGCAGTCCAGCCTGGGTGACGAGAGAGACTCCGTCTCAAACAAACAAAACCCGTCTCACTAAAAATACAAAAATTAGCCCGGTGTGGTGGCACCTGCCTGTAATCCCAGCTACTTCGCAGGCTGAGGCAGGAGAATCACTTGAACCCAGGAGGCAGAGGTTGCAGTGAGCCAAGATCCCACCACTGCTCTCCAGACTGGGTGACAGAGCAAGACTCTGTCAAAAAAAAAAAAAAAAAAATGGGGAAGAAGAGCAAGGGCAGCTGTGTAGGCGGAGGAGGAACCCAGGCATCCTGACTGCCCTGGGTGCAACCCTGACCCAGAGCCCACCCCACATTGCTGTCAGAGGGGCAGGGCTGAGCCTGCTCCTCCCCTTCCTGGGTGGCTGACTGGGACAAAGTGGCCTGGTCCCTCCTCTTGTCCAGGTCCCCCAGCTTCTCACCTTCTTGCCACTTGGACAGAGCAAATGCCATGTCCCATGTTCCAAAGGAAAGGAAGGCGAGCCTGGCCCCTGCGTTGCTTCTGCACGTATCTCTTTGGCTTCTTTCTCTCTGCCGCCCCCATGTGGCCAATCTGCACCTGCGAACCTGCTTCCCTCAGAGGTGACAAACCCAGCCTGTCAGGCCCTAGGGACTCCGGTCTGGCCTCAGTCTCCCCGTCTGTGAAATGGGTTGCTGGAGATCCTGCTTCGGAGGTGTCAGCTGGCAACAAGGACGTGCGAAGGGTGAGGGGCCTCCCCAGGGCAGGCGAGAGGGTATCTCTGTGTACCCAGAGGTCCCAGAAGAATCAGAGATCCTGGATGCGCCCAGCACTTGGGTCAGGCCAACTTGAGTTTGAAGCCCAGTTCCAACAATACCTGGTGGATCTGCAGAATGAGGAGATGAGGATGTCTTCCCTCGCAGGGTGTCAGGAGGGCAGACATGTCGCTGGTTGCAGAGCACTGAGTGCCAATTGCTCCGGAAATGCGGTGGGGCGGAGGCTTCTTAGTTCTGGAAGGTTCCATGAGTGACCTGAGTGAGTATGCAGTGTGAATACTCCACCCCACTCCATCTCAGTGCCGCAGCCTGAGCACTGAGTACCCCCTCCTCTCGTCCACTGTGCCCTCTGCAGGAGACAGGCCTGGGAGGACCGATCCGGGTGTCACAGTGCCAAGGACAGAAGGAAGGCTCTTTCTGGCCTGGCTTCCTCCAGGGAAGGGGCCGATTTCTCCACTAGCGTGCCAATCCGGCCTCCTTTCTGCACATGGAGTCCTTAATTGTCCCTGTCCCCACCTCGCCCCATCCTCAGAGGACTGTGGCCGTGGGGGTGAAGCTTCCCATGCACCACCATCTCCCAGGCCTGCCCCTAGGACATTCTCTGTGGGCTGGAGCCTGGGACGACTTCACTGTGCTCCACCAAGAAAGACAGGCTGGACAGGGGGCACACGCCTGTTCCCTCCTCAGGAAGCACAGTTGGGTTCCAGGGAGCCAGTGGATGCTGGAGACCCCAGCTCAGGGCTCAGTGGGCCAGCCTGGCCGCTGAGGGAGCTCCCGGAGAAGACCGGGACCCTGGTCTAGAGTCTCAGTGAGTCCATCTCCTTCAAATGCCCCCACCTCGACCCCACGCCCCACCTCCAGAACACTCGCGTGAGGCACTAGCTGGAAGATCCCCGCGGGTACCAGCACTGCAGTGGGCACCTGGGCCTGGCAGAACCCCCGGGACCCCATCTTGCTTCTCCATCGGCCCCGGGGCAGAGAGGGTGTGGAGGCTGCAGGGTGAGGACTGCCTGGGCTCGACAGCTTGGCGAGGGCCTGGTGCCGGCTGGGCAGGCTGGACGCAGGGGCAAAGGGGTCTGGGTGGAGCGGGGCCGCTCTGGGCGCCTGGTCCCCACCAGCTCCTTCCCCTGGCCCCGCCTCCGCCCTCCCACGCACCTGCGCTGGCCTCCCCCCAAGCCCTGGGGGCAGCAGGCGGGTGGCGCTGGGAGATCAGAGGACTCGGAGGAGTTGGGCCCAGGGGGAGGGGGCGGGGAATTTCCCCCCACGCCTGCCTGGGCCTGCTCCCCTCCCCCTCCCCCGCCAGGTGGGGGGTACTGCTGGGGGAATTCCACCGCAGCGCGAAGGCTCGGGAGGGAGCCTTCTGAGCCAGGGGTCCCAGGGAGGGGAGGAGGAGGGACGGGGGGAGGGGGCAGACTGGGACCTGAGGCGCAGCTGCCTTTCTCCCCAGACACCAGCTGGCCCTGCCTGTCCCGGACTGAGCTTCCACGACTCCCGCTTGTCTCGTGGGCGTGGGGGCAGGGAATGGCGCTCCCTCCTTCAGGCGGGCGGCGTCTGGACCAGGGCGGGAGGGGCGTGTGGATCTGGATCCGGAGAAAGTGCGAGTGAGCGCCTGTCAATGAATGGGCGGCAGTGCGAGCGCGTGCGTGCACTAGAAGGAGGGCGCTTGTAACTCGGAGATTCAGGGTGTCCCGGGGCGCGTGCGGCCCCTACAGTATCTCCCACTTTAAGGGTCTTCCGTCCGCTTGCCCGGCCTGTCCCCCTCCACACCCTCTCGCTAGAACCGGCACCGACCTGAGGGGGAGAGGGCGGGGAGGCGCGGGACGCCTGGGGTCCGCGGGGCGGGCGTGGGAGGTGTCTGGACCTGCTGCCTCCGCTCCAGTCCTGGGCGGGGCTTCCCGGCCTCCCTTGGGGCAAGGGAGAGACCCGGGGGGGAGGGACCCACGGAGGATGCGAGGGGGGCAGGAACCAGCGCATTGGAGACCTGGGCGAGGGAGACGCCGAGAGCGAGGCGCAGTGGGAGGGGGCGGGTGTGGAGGCCGAGGCACCGCCCAGAGCTCGCAGAGACAGAAATTGAGAACGCCCCCGGCCAGATCCCCCCGCAGAGACCCGGGTAGGGACAGGGGCAGAGAGACACCTCCAGGGGCACAGGCCCTGGGAGGCAAAGACCTCCCTGAACCCACCCCAGACGGAGAGCGTGGCTCAGAGTCGGACGAGGGCAGAGGGTCAGAGGACAACGCCCCCCAAGTCGCCTGGGACACCCCGGAGCGACCCCGGGGGCAGCCCGGGCCGTGTCCGGGCCAGGGTGACCTATCTTGGTTGGGTGCGATGGGGACACAGGCCGCAAAGGGCTTCCTCCTTCTACTCTTCCTCCCACTGCTACAGCCGCGTGGGGCCTCGGCTGGGAGCCTGCACAGTCCAGGTACGTCGGGGCACGGTTGCCGAGCCTTGTTCACCACCCCCCTCGGCCTCGGTCCCCAGGGCCAGGCCCCCCAGGCTGGGGAGGAGGACAGAGCAGGTGGCTGGAGCAGCTGAGCAGCCGGAGGGCGCTAGCGGGAGCGGGTGTGAGGGGGTGCTGGCTGGGACCCAGGCGGAGGTGGCGCAAGGGCGCAAGGATGCCCAGCGTGGGTCCGGACCTTCCCAGGCCCCGCCTTTGCCATGCAGGCCTGTCGGAGTGCTTCCAGGTGAATGGGGCTGACTACCGCGGCCACCAGAACCGCACTGGCCCGCGTGGGGCGGGCCGCCCGTGCCTCTTCTGGGATCAGACGCAGCAGCACAGCTACAGCAGCGCCAGCGACCCCCAGGGCCGCTGGGGGCTGGGCGCACACAACTTCTGCCGGTGAGGGGCCGGGCCTGCGCTGGGGGCGAGGCTGGGCGCACCGTAGTGGGGACCGCCTGAGGCGGGGCCTCAGTGAGCGCGGGGTGGAGGTCGGCGGTGGACTGGCAGCCCGGCCGCTCAGAGAACCCGAGGGCGGAGCCAGAACGACGGGCGGAACGGGGCGGGACGCGCGGAATCCTGGTGCAAAAGGGGTCCTCCTCAGGTGCACAATTTCTGCAGAGCCTCGGTTCAGGGCCAGGAGAGAAACGGACCTGGGTACTCAAAGGACCCGTATGGGTGGGCCTGGTCAGAGGAGGGCCCTGGAGTGAGGGGACCAGCTCTTGTCACACAACTTATTTGAGGGGCGTTGGAGCATTGGGGATCAGAGCCACAGCTGCGGCCTGAGGCTGGACGGACCCAGCAGGAGGAGAGCCTCAAATCTGGGAAGCTCATCATGTCTGCTTTAAAGTGAGATTGGGGCCGGGCATGGTGGCTCACACCTGTAATCCCAGCACTTTGGGAGGCCGAGATGCGATGGGCGGATCATCTGAGGTCAGGAGTTCCAGGCCAGCCTGGCTACCATGGTGAAACCCCGTTTCTACTAAAAATACAAACATTAGCCGGCCATGGTGACAAGCTCCTGCAATCCCAGCTACTCGGGAGGCTGAGGCAGGAGAATCGCTTGACCCATGACAGTGGAGATTGGTGAGCCGAGATCATACCACTGCACTCCAGCTTGGGCAACAAGACGGAAACTCTGTCAAAAAAAAAAAAAAAAACCCACACACAAGTGGGGTTGCAGGGATGGAAGTGGCTGAGAGTCATGCCGGGTGGGGGTGAAGACTACAGATGGCCTGAAAGCTCAAAGTCCTCATGTATGGAGTCAAGTCTGGTAACAGCTGAAGCCTAAAAACAGCTCTCATAGCCATTTTAGTGACTTCTCGCTGTCCACTCAGAAGTCCCCATCCAGTGCCTTCATCGGGCAGAGCTCTGTGGAGACAAAACTGGAATTTGTGGGTGGACGCGGGGAGCACACTGCTCACAGGCAGGGAGCCGTGACGGCCGCTTTGAGCAGACTGGGTTTGCTGTTCTTGGGGTGGCAGGACCCCGACCACCTCCCTCCCACCCCCAGTAACCCAGACGGCGATGTGCAGCCGTGGTGCTACGTTGCCGAGACAGAGGAGGGAATCTACTGGCGCTACTGCGACATCCCCACATGTCACAGTGAGTGGCACGGCTGCACAGAGGTGGGAACGCTGCCGTGTCTGGGAGGAGGGTCAATTTTGGAGGCACGGAAGTCTGACTCTCTGCCCCTCAGTGCCTGGCTACCTGGGCTGCTTCATGGACTCCGGGGCGCCCCCAGCCCTCAGCGGCCCCAGCGGCACCTCCACGAAGCTCACGGTCCAGGTGTGCCTTCGCTTCTGCCGCATGAAGGGCTACCAGGTACTGCTCACGGGCCCAGACCAGTGACCCCTGACCTGGACCTAAGGATCCCACTCAACTCCCAGCACTCCATTGCCAAACCCAGACACCTATTTCTGAACCTCCAGTCCGATTCCCACCCCTACCCCAGCCCCTGCCCTGGGGTCACCCAGTCTGTGCTCCCAGCTGGCGGGCGTGGAGGCTGGTTACGCCTGCTTCTGTGGCTCTGAAAGCGACCTGGCCCGGGGACGCCTGGCCCCCGCCACCGACTGTGACCAGATCTGCTTCGGCCACCCCGGACAGCTGTGCGGCGGTGATGGGCGGCTGGGCGTCTATGAAGGTGAGGAGTGAGTGGGGACCAGGGACCCGGCCAAGCCCGGGGAGCCGCGGTGTCTCGTCGGGTCTGCGCGATGCAGGAAGCGCCCAGCGGGCCTCAGGGTCCTGACTGCCGGCCCCGCCCGCAGTGTCTGTGGGCTCCTGCCAGGGGAACTGGACGGCGCCTCAGGGCGTCATCTACTCCCCGGACTTCCCGGACGAGTACGGGCCGGACCGGAACTGCAGCTGGGCCCTGGGCCCGCCAGGCGCCGCGGTGGAACTCACCTTCCGTCTCTTCGAGCTGGCGGACTCGCGCGACCGGCTAGAGCTGCGCGACGCGGCTTCGGGCAGCCTGCTCCGCGCCTTCGACGGCGCCCGCCCGCCGCCGCCTGGACCACTTCGCCTGGGCCCCGCCGCCCTTCTGCTCACCTTCCGCAGCGATGCGCGCGGCCACGCGCAGGGCTTCGCCCTCACCTACCGCGGTGAGCCCCGGCCCGGCGCGCCCTGCCCGCTGTTCCCACCCCCATCTCCCTACCCGGCCTCACGCCCCTCTCCGCAGGGCTGCTGGACGCCGCCGAGGGCCCCGGGCCCCCCGAGGGCTCGGCCCAGACCCCCGCAGCGCCCCTCAACGGGGCCAACGTGAGCTGCAGCCCCAGGCCTGGGGCTTCGCAGGCCGCGATGGGGGGTGAGGCGGGCTCGCGGGACGGGAGGGAGTCAGGGAGCCGCCCCCTCGCGCCCATCCTCACCGCAGCTGTGTGCCCGCAGCCCGGGTCTTCTCGACGGTGACGGCTGTCTCGGTGTTGCTGCTGCTGCTCCTAGGGCTGCTGCGTCCGCTGCGCCGACGGTGCGAGGCGCTGGGGCAGGGCTTGAGGGTGGACGGGTGGTGGGGAGCTGGGGCGCCAGAGGGGAAAAGAGCCAGGAAGGAACTCCTGGGTTCTTAAGGGAGCGCACCTTTGGGTCCATACACAGAATAGCGCGCAGGATCGCAGGGATTGGACTGGCTCGGCTGACGTCTGCTCCCTCTCTAGGAGCTGTCTGCCGGCTCCAGGAAAAGGGCCCCCGGCGCTGGGGCCTTCCCGGGGCCCCAGAAGAAGCTGGGCCGTGTGGTACCGACGGCCCCGAGGGGTGGCCCTGCCCTGCCCCCCGGGGGACCCCCAGGCTGAGGGTCCTGCCGCAGGCTACCGGCCTCTGAGTGCCTCCAGCCAGAGCTCCCTGCGTTCCCTCATCTCTGCTCTCTGACTCCAGGCCCCCAGGGTCCGCTGGACCCGCCATCAGCGAGACAGACAACTGAGATGCTGTGCACGCCCTACCTCGGCCTTGTGACTGTTTAGGGGCAGTTCGACCTCTGGTCGCCTTGGGGAGACCAGAATTCGGACAGGAAACATCCTGCTATTATCCGGGACTTGGCCTGACCTTCCTCTTGCTCCAGGCCAAAGGGCAAGAGGAATCCAGCCCTTCTCCATGGACCTTTATGTGCGGGTGGTCTCTGGTTTTAGAGATATTTGAACCCCTCTTGGGGTGGTCCTGGACTGCCGTCCTTAGTGAGAGGTCACAGGTCAACAAAACGGTCAAAAAGACCCCCACAAACTTTGAATAAAGGGTCTATTTTGGTACGGATCTCCAAAGTTCTTCCGTGGTGGGAAGAGGAGCGTGTTAATGAGCGTACAGGCGCCGAGGATTGTCTGTGTCCATGCAAATGAAGGGCGTTGCACGCAGACTTCGGCGGAGCTGCCTGGAATGCAGAGAAGGACCCAGAACGCAGACATATGGGTGGGTGGGTGGGATCCTGTAGAAGGCAGGGATTGAAAGGGAGGAGGATAGTGGACAACATTATGGTGAAGAAGGGGTGCCTTTCCGGTACCTGCTCAAGGTGGGCGGGACAGAGGCCGACTTTGGTCCCCTGGCCGCCAACTTTCTATCTTCACTGTTTCCTGTCTGTCCTGGTCGGGACACCGCAAGAGTGCGCCTTTGTGGGTGATAACAGGGAGCAAGTTGTGCTGAGCCCACGCTCCAAGAAGCCTGGCGCGAAGGGCAGGGCCTCGCCCGGCGGCTGCCGGCTCGTGAGGCACAATTTCAGAGGTCTGGGCACCCCGGAGTGCCCAGCTGCACTCAGGAGGCGTCTAGCCGGCGGAAAGATCACTCTGGAGTGGGGGCTCACAGGATCTAGGGCGGACCGGTCCGGCAGCACCTTGGACAGAGCCCGGTCTGCAGGGTGGGGCTGGGTGGCGGGACCGTGCCCTCGGGGGGGGGGGGTGCCCAAAGGTGCGGAGACCTGGGAGTCACGAGGAAAGCCCAGGTGCACAGTGCTGAGGGACGCGAGGTGCCCGGGTCACTCTAGCGGAGTCCGCAGGACCCAGAAGGTCGGGTCGCAAGCCCCCAGCTACCCCATGCAAATAAGGCTGGGATCGCGCACACGGTGCTGGCAGGCGAGGCCTGGGCGGCCTCGGGGCGGAGCCTCCCCGCCGGCCGTGCCCATTGGCTCTCGCTGCGCCGACGTCAGGAGCCCAGCGCGCGAAACGCGGGCCAGCCGGCGGGGACTAGGAGCTGGGGCGGAGCCTGGCGTCCCCTCCCGTGTCCGGCCGCACCCGTCCTCCCGGCTGCGGAGAGACGACCGGCTGCCGCCGCCGTGAGCTGTCCCTACAGCGCGCTTGTCTTGGCGGAGCGGACCGCAGTGCGCCCAGTCGTCCGGCGCGTCCCCAGCCTCCGCCCCGGCGCGGGGGCGTTGAACTCGCGCGTGCGCAGCGCAGGAGGGGCGCGGGCTGGGACCCCCGAGCCAGCGCGTGCGCCAGTCGATCGCAGGGCGGCAAGTGGGCGCCGGGCCGTGATGGGTCTCCCCGTGCTGCGACCTCACTGAGGAGGAGGCTCGAGGACAAGAGGAGCGCGGGCCGCCTGCGCGGTGCGGACCATGGCATTCCTGGCTGGGCCGCGCCTGCTGGACTGGGCCAGCTCGCCGCCGCACCTGCAGTTCAATAAGTTCGTGCTGACCGGATACCGGCCCGCCAGCAGCGGCTCGGGCTGCCTGCGCAGCCTCTTCTACCTGCACAACGAACTGGGCAACATCTACACGCACGGTGAGCCCCGCCCGTAACGCACTTCCCACACCTCCGGCCGCCCTACGCGTGCTGGGCCGGGGGCTGAGGCCGAGGAGCGTCCCAGCGCCCAAGACCTGGGCTGGCACAGCCAGAAGCCTTGGTGACAAAGCTGCCATTGTCCCGGACGGCCCGCGCTGCCAGCTTCAGCTTTCCCGGCGGGTGGGGGGGCCGGGTCAGGAGAGGGAAGCAGAGTGGGGGTGCTGAGCCTGCTTAATCCCTCTGAGTCCCAGGGATAGGGAGCTTGGTGGCTTGGTGTTTGGCCTCTGTAATCCCAGCGCCCAGGGCAGCCTCTCCCGCCAGCACCCAGGCGGGAGATGGTGTTGACTGCCATTAGGAGGACCATGGAGGAGCCGCCGCGCCCCTCCCAACTCAGCCGTCCTGACGCCCCCGCCCCAGGCAGCTCAGTCTTGGGGCTCCACCTGGTGGCGGCTCCTTCCTCCCCCTACAGGCGCCCGGCCCCTCCTCTGCACCCCGCGGAGCTCTGCTGACACAGCCGTGCCCGTCCTTGAGCTGCCCCAGCTGGGCGAGGGGCCCTGAGCGGCCCGGCCCAGCCTCGGTGCCTTCTCCGAGTTTCTGCCAGGCCAGATCCCACGAGGGTGGGCAGTTTGCGGAGCTCAGTTTGGCCCTTGGGAGGCCAATGCTAGAGGCTGGTGGGAAGGGGTGGGGACTTCCCAGAAAGGCCTAGGCAGGGAGGAATGAAACTCCAGGGGAGAGGTCTGGGGAGATGACACAAGCCCCTCGGACTCCCCTTCCCTTCATTCTGGACTTGCCTTCCCCTGCCAGGCCTCACCCCTTTATGGAAGATAAAAAGGCCCAATGCCTCCATTTGCATGGACACTTACGGAGAGGGGAGGATTTGGGTTGGAAAAAGCAAGCCCAGTGGCCTATGGGCTGGCATCACTGCCCATGTGTCCTGTTCACAACTCAGCTTGAAGTCTCGCCACCTTAGGCTTCAGCTGACCTAGGCCAGGGGCCTGTGGCCTTGCTGGGGGAAAGCAATGTGAGAGTGGGATGGCCCAGGCCTGTCCTCTGCCACTGCTTACCCACTGGGCTCATTTGGGGCCGGTCATTCAGCCCCTCCAAGTCTGTTTCCTCACCTGCAAAGTGGAGACCATGATCTCCACTTCCCAGACCATCCTGAGCCTAAGTAACCAGTGCCAAAAGCCTTTCGCCCAGGGCCTGCCTCTGGCCAAAGCCAGGCTGCCAGCTGGATGACACCATTACCTGGACCTGCCTTGCTCTGTCTTGTGGTGTCTAGATTGGGGTCCCCTTGAGGACGTGACTGAAGCTGTCTGGTAGATGACTGTCTCCCTCCCTAGGGCTGGCCCTGCTGGGTTTCCTGGTGCTGGTGCCGATGACTATGCCCTGGGGTCAGCTGGGCAAGGATGGCTGGCTAGGGGGCACACACTGCGTGGCCTGCCTGGCACCTCCTGCAGGCTCCGTGCTCTATCACCTCTTTATGTGCCATCAAGGGGGCAGCGCTGTGTATGCCCGGCTCCTCGCTCTGGACATGTGTGGGGTCTGCCTTGTCAACACACTTGGTGAGTCAGGGCCCCAAGGGATGGCATCTGGGGCCACTGGTGCGGGGAGGCATGGGACACTCATACAAGCCCTGGGTAGGGAAGGGCAGGTGGACCCTCAGACTGACGTGCCCTCTTCTGCTCTCTCCGCTGTGCAGGGGCCCTGCCCATCATCCACTGCACCCTGGCCTGCAGGCCCTGGCTGCGCCCAGCTGCCCTGGTGGGCTACACCTTGCTGTCAGGTGTGGCTGGCTGGCGTGCCCTCACTGCCCCCTCCACCAGTGCTCGGCTCCGGGCATTTGGGTGGCAGGCTGCGGCCCGGCTGTTGGTGTTTGGGGCCCGGGGAGTGGGGCTGGGCTCAGGGGCTCCAGGCTCCCTGCCCTGCTACCTACGCATGGACGCACTGGCGCTGCTTGGGGGGCTGGTGAACGTGGCCCGCCTGCCCGAGCGTTGGGGACCCGGCCGCTTTGACTACTGGGGCAACTCTCACCAGATCATGCACCTGCTGAGCGTGGGCTCCATCCTACAGCTGCACGCTGGTGTCGTGCCCGACCTGCTCTGGGCTGCCCACCACGCCTGTCCCCAGGACTGAGCTGCCAAGACAGCCTGCCCACAGCAGCCTCCCAGAGTTAGCAACACCAGGTGTTCCTCCCTCCTGGTCTGCAAGGGGCTGGCTCCCTGGATGCTTTCAGCTCAGGAGACATCTAGCCAGGAGCCCTGCTCACCCATTCTTCCCTGTGGACTGACCTCTTCCAGCCACGCCAGGGCGCTCCAACTTACCTCCCTGCCTTCTCCCTCCAAGCTCTTGTTCTACTGCATCAGCTGGAAGGAAACCTTTCCCCCTTGGGACCTGTTTGCCCTGTGACCTGTGGGTTTGGACCAGAGGGACTCTGGAGCCGTGTCTTACTCTGAGAGTTCAAGTTCTGCCAGCTTTCCAGGCTGCCAACCCAGAGCCCTCACCCCGTCTTGCTATTCCCACCAGGCCTCTGGCCAGGCCCTTGGGCCCAGGCTTTTTGACCTCCATCTTTCTGCCCTGCATACATGCTTTCCCAGCAGCCACGAGCTTGCCTGCCCTGGATTCCTCTGCTGAGACATGGTGGAAGGCATTCTGGGCAAAAGGACCAAGGCCAAGGGGACATGGACCCTTCTTATACCAGCTGGCCACAGGCACAAGGGCTGCCGCTGCTTCTTCCAGGCAACTGGCACATGGAATTCAGTGGCCTCGGATCCTGGGACCCCTGGGCCGTGCCTGCCCTCCACTTTGAGTACCATGCTCCAACAGCTCCAGCTGCCCACCGGGGATGCGCCTGCTCAGGAAAGCTCTTTGCCACAGAGCATGGGCTCCAGCTGCTAGCCCAAGGCCAGGAAAACTGGGCTCTGCAGCAGGGTTCAGCCTCAGGGGCCTAAGATGCTGGATGACATCAATAAAGGGACAAGAAGGGCCATGTTGCCACACGAGCGAGCTTGGATGCTCCAAGGTTCAAGTACCTTTTATTAGACATGGCCAGGCAGAAAAAGACCGTGGGAGTTCCCGAGGGGCCCCAGCTTTCAAAAGCGATGGGAGGGACACTGGGTAAAACATTACAAGTGCAGAGGCGGAGCCTGGGGCTCAGGTTGGGTCTAGGGTGTCCTCAAACAGGCTGAGGAGATTCCGAGGCTCAAAGGAGGGGAAGGACCCCCGAGGAGGCTCTGAGTCAATGTCACTTAGGTCCAGGGCATCCCTGGGAGGAGGGGAGAGGAGTGACACTCAGGATCCAGGTCCAAAAGCCAGCCCTGCCCTGCCCACCCCAACCCCTGGGCCTGCTTACCTGGGCATGCACCTGCTCCGGGGGGTGGAAGTGCTCCCCGAAGCCCGGGCCAGGACAGCCTCAGGGGAGAGTGAGGGCCTGCAGGAGGGCGGGTGAGACAAGCAAGGTGTCTGGGGCTGGGCCAGCTCTGTCCCTATGCAGGCTCTAGGCTCCCACTTGACCAACAGGCAGGGAGCCATGGTCAGATACAATAAAAACTTAGTGCACTCTGAAAGCAGCACTTGGAGAGCCTTCAAAGACCTTCCTCTGGCTGCACTCAAAGGCCCCTCTGTCCTTTTCAGAAGACACAGACTTGACAGAGGCGGATTTAGTAAACATTTAGTAAATGTAAGCCTTTCTGGAACTTGTCTACTATAAAGTGCCCCCAAGGGAGGAGGTGACGTTTTTATAAGGAAGGGCCTAACAGCAGAGTCCTCGAGAACTGTGTGCCCGGAGCATGTGCTTTTCCTTTGAGCATCTCCTAATTACAGCCTCGCAGGTGGCCAGCAGCCCCCAGGGACTGAGGACTTCCTCCCAGGGCAGGACTCTCCAGACTCCAGAGGCTTTTTCTTCCCAGAGAAGGGACAATTTCTTGTCCCTGGGCACTGGCAGTCTCCACTGGGGTCAGGGCTGTGCAGCTGGTCACTCCCTGGTGTGGAGGTGCCTTAAGTGTGAAGCCCTGCCCTGAGCAGCCAGTACACACCAAGCTGCATTCAGTCTGGCTGGGCAGTACCCTACCAGCCTTGGTTCTCTTCCCCACGGTATGATGGGGGCAAGGTTTGTGGGAATGGTCCCCATTCACCATGAATTTCCATGGAGCCCCAGTGATGTCCCCCCAGCTTCCCCCAGCGCCCCATACCCTGCACTCACACTCACCCTAGGCTGTCGTCGTCCCAGTTGCTGGAGAGGCTGCTGTCCAGGAGCAGGCTACAGGGTGGTGAGCCAGGTGGGGTGGCCGGCGGGCCCGGGGACTGCAGCCAGCTAGCAGGGTGAGCCAGCCCATGCCAGAGCCAACACAGCAGGGCAAGCAGGGCCTGTGGGGAAAGGAGCTCAGAATGTGGGCAGGCCCCAGGGCTGGGGAGCTAGGCAGGCAGCCACCACTGTCAGGAGCTTACCTGCCACAGGGCCCACCCTCGGCTCAGGGCCTCCGCTGTCATATACCACAGTGCACCCCAGGCCCTCTGCTGCCTCAACACAGGCAGCGCCAGCAGGGCCTCAGCTGTGGCCCGAAGCTTGGGGTCCGGCTCCAGCATCATGACAAGGACAGAACGCAGCTCAGAAGACAGACCTGCCCATGAAGAAGGGCCACATCAGGGGTCCTGGAACGGCAACTGCACCGAGCCCAGCAGTGTCTCCATGCCCAGCTGCTGTCTCCCCAGGAGCCCATGGCAGCACCCCCTCCCGCCCTCACCCACTCACCGGCAGTGAACTCGGGGGGCAGGTAGCCCTGGCGCAGCTGCTGCCAGCCCTCCCCACCATGAGGCAGCTCCATGTTGCATGCTACTTCCAAGATGGTGAGGCCCAGACTGGCAGGGACAGGATGGGGACAGAAGAGAGCAGGGTTGGCCTTGGAACACAAGACACAGTCCTGGGCTGCCTCTTGGAGGTGGGTGGGAGAGGGCTGCTGTCTTTCTTGATCAGTCAGGGAAGGGCAGAAGCAGAGGGAAGGGAGCCCCACCAGGGCTGATCATGAACCCCGGGCAGGATGGGGACATCATAAAATATAGGCCCCGTGCTCAGGGAGCCTACGTGCCAGTGGTGGGTCCTCCCAGTGCCCTGCTGGACAGGTGCCATGGTGACAGGTATTACTATCCTGATGATCAGGGCCGTGGTTACCAGTGTGAACCCTGGAACCCAGCACCTGGAGCCAGTTCCAGCTGTGCCACCTGCTAGCAATGGGCTCCGGCAGGCCCTTCACCTGGCTGTGAATGGAGTGACAATTGTTTCTCATGTGGAGCTGTGAGGAGGAGGCAGGTTACACAAAGTGGCTCTGGAGGGCTCGAGGATCACAGGCAGCCTAACCAGACAGAGCCTTTCCACAGGGTAGGGACGATGTCTCAGCTATAAGCTCTGAGGCTGGGTGTCCTGGACTAGGATGGAGCTTCCATCCTGGGAAATAAAGCTTCTGTCCCAGGAAGGGCTTCCCACAGCCTGCCAAACACCTGGCATCCTCTGGTCCTCACCTGAACACGTCCGCTGCTGTCCCATAGGAGCCCTGCAGCAGCTCGGGGGCCATGTAGCGGGGATCTCCCTCCTGAACCTCGCCAGCTCCTGCTGTACCCAGCTCCACTAGCAGTCCGAAGTCACCCAGCTTGCAGCGGCCCCGAGGCCCCAGGAAGATGTTGGCAGGCTTCACATCAAGGTGCACCAGGCCCTGGCCATGCAGGTGGGCCAGAGCAAGCAGCGTGTCCCGCAGGTAGCCCCAGACCTGGGCCTCGGGCAGGCTGGCGCCCCAGGCCTCACAGTGCTGCTGCAGGCTGGGCCCACACAGCTCCGTCTGCAGGTACAGGATGCCTCCCTCCTCCCAGGCCTGCTCCAGCCGCACGCAGCGTGGGTGCTGCCCCACCTTCTCATGGCCGCCCACCTCGGCCAGCTTGCGGGCCCGGTCCTTGGGACCCCGGAATGGTGACATGGAACGCTTTACTGCATAGAGCTGACCATCCTCCTTGGAGCGCACCTGGAAATGAGGTGGCACCCACAGGCAGGGTGGGGGAGAGCCACAAGTGGCGCAACCATGTTGGGGGACAACCTAGCAGACTTCATTAAGGGCTCACACACAGGACAGTGGTGTAGCTGCCAAGTCTCAGACCCCTGCCCAGGGCAACAGCAAAACTGGACAAACCTCCACCCCCGGGGCTGGGTCCATGGAGGCCCAGCGATGGAGGAGCCAGGCCGACCTGAGCCGGCGACGGGACCTCCGTGAGGTGGAAAAAGCAGCTGCAGAGCAACACAGGCAGCACAGGCTGTTGTATGAATAGTGGGTTCCCCTGTGAGAAAGCTGACCTGGGGGCAATGTTGTTTGTACTTTTTAACAAAATTGTCTTCACATAGAACTCATACAAGAGAAAAGTACTCTTTAAAAAAAATACATAAATGACTGGAAACTGTGTTTAAGAAAAACAAGGTGGCAGGCACAGGGTAGCTCGGAGCCTGCCAGCCTGGGGAGGGCAGGGTATGGGCTGTACTCAGGGTTGGCTCCAGGGACTGGGCAGACTCGCCAAGGACCTTGCACGGCTGGTGCCAGGGCCAGAGGAGATGGCACGGGGCTGCCAAAGGGTGTGCCAGACTCTGGACAAGGGGCCAGTGTGCACAGAGCAGCCCCTGGAGGGGCCTGCATTGCAGGTGATGGGAGCAGCCAAGTCAAATGTAGAGGGGGCCTGTAAGCACGGGGTGGGGGGGAGGCTGTAGGGAACAGAAGGGGAACAGGCTGACCAGGACCCTGTCCCACCAGGGGAGTGGCAGGGACACAAAGGAGGTCACCGTAGATGGGCCTGGAAGCCGTCCCCTCGCTCACCTTGAAAACCTCTCCGTAGGAGCCATGGCCCAGGCGGCTGAGCCTCTGAAAGCTCTGCTGGAAGAAGGACTCTGGCCGGCTTGGGTCATACCCAGGGCTCTGCAGGGTCTCTGAGGCTTCGCCTCGGAATGACACCCGCCGGGGACGCAGCTGGTGCCAGCGTGGGGTCCGAGGAGGGAAGAGGCGGCTGATGGGGATGCTGCCCTTGGCAGGGGGTGGAGGTGGGAGGCTCCGGCTGAGCCCCCTGGGCCTCTTGCGGGAGAAGCCAGGTTCTGCGTGGCGGAAGTAAGCTGGGACTGGGACAGGAGTGCCACTCAGGGGCGGCGGGGTGCCCTCCGTGGGCACGGGCATGGCCAGCACAGGAGGCCCTACGGGCAGAGACAGAGACTGAGGACAGGGCAGTGTGTCAACTCCGACACCACATGACCCTGTGGCGCCAAAGAGGCCACAGAAGAGAGCCACATCTATACCACCCCTGTATTCTGCTTTAAACAGCCATGGGAGCAACAAGCACCTACCAGGAAAAGGCAGAGGACAGATTCATACTCACCTGCCCGCCAGGCTGTTATATTTTAGAGATGATAGAAACATAAGAAGAAACGCACGGGGCCCATGTTCTTGAGGGCCTTGCAGTCAGTAGAGGTTCTGCAGTCAGAGGCTCCGCCTGCCTCCCTGTCCTCATCACGGCCCGCCTGCCTGCCTCCCTGTCCTCATCACAGCCCGCCCGCCTGCCTCCCTGTCCTCATCACGGCCCGCCCGCCTGCCTCCCTGTCCTCATCACGGCCCGGCCGCCTGCCTCCCTGTCCTCATCACGGCCCGCCCGCCTGCCTCCCTGTCCTCATCACGGCCCGCCCGCCTGCCTCCCTGTCCTCATCACGGCCCGCTGACCCTAACCACACAGCCTCTTCCAAGACCACAGGGGCCCACCATCCCTTATCTCCAATTCCAAAGGAAAAAAACAAAACAGAATCCCTCAAGTTTCTTTCTTTTCATAGCACATTTAGTGGTGTCCAGTTCCAGAACGGCAGTGGGCAAAGCCCACGGACACCTCCCCCAGTTCCGGAACGGCAGTGGGCAAAGCCCACGGACACCTCCCCCAGTTCCGGAACGGCAGTGGGCAAAGCCCACGGACACCTCCCCCAGTTCCGGAACGGCAGTGGGCAAAGCCCACGGACACCTCCCCCAGTTCCTGAACGGCAGTGGGCAGAGCCCACGGACACCTCCCCCAGTTCCGGAACGGCAGTGGGCAGAGCCCACGGACACCTCCCCCAGTGAAACAGGCACAACTGGTGACAGTTATTTAAGCACAGGCACTGAAAGCCTCTGGGCCTGGTGCCCAGGGCACATGCAAACAAAGGTTTACACTAGAAAACCTGCCAAAGCTTCGGAATAACAGCAAGCCTGTTGGCACCTGAGCCATGACACTCCTGCCCTCCTACCCCCAGCACCCCACTCCCCTAGCCTAGCACTGGGGGCAGGTGTGGCCAACAAGGGCTCCCTCTCCCCCAGCTTCCAGTCAAGAGCCAAGAGAACCAGGTTCTCAGCACTTCTCAACCCTCCTAGCTCCACATGGCAGAAGCTAAATTCCAGCTGAGTGTGACAGACAGGCCAGGGCTCCCTTCTTCCACCTGCTCCCGTGCACAGAGAAGAGACTGTGCCTCAGGCCCCACAGGCTGGGAACAAGGAGCCCCGGCTCATTTGTAGGAAGGAAGTTCCACACTGGAAAAGGGAAACAGTGAAGCCAGAGGCTCCTTCTGGACCCAGCAACCTGCTCCTAAAGCAGCAGCAGCGGCACCCAGTGCACGGGCTATACCGCCCCCAGTTCTACAGCAGCGGCACCCGGTGCACTGCTATACCGCCCCCAGTTCTACAGCAGCGGCACCCGGTGCACTGCTATACCGCCCCCAGTTCTACAGCAGCGGCACCCGGTGCACTGCTATACCGCCCCCAGTTCTACAGAGGCGGCACCCGGTGCACTGCTATACCGCCCCCAGTTCTACAGCAGCGGCACCCGGTGCACTGCTATACCGCCCCCAGTTCTACAGCAGCGGCACCCGGTGCACTGCTATACCGCCCCCAGTTCTACAGCAGCGGCACCCGGTGCACTGCTATACCGCCCCCAGTTCTACAGCAGCGGCACCCGGTGCACGGCAATACCGCCCCCAGTTCTACAGCAGCGGCACCCGGTGCACGGGCTATACCGCCCCCAGTTCTACAGCAGCGGCACCCGGTGCACTGCTATACCGCCCCCAGTTCTACAGCAGCGGCACCCGGTGCACTGCTATACCGCCCCCAGTTCTACAGCAGCGGCACCCGGTGCACGGGCTATACCGACCCCAGTTCTACAGCAGCGGCACCCGGTGCACTGCTATACCGCCCCCAGTTCTACAGCAGCGGCACCCGGTGCACTGCTATACCGCCCCCAGTTCTACAGCAGCGGCACCCGGTGCACGGGCTATACCGACCCCAGTTCTACAGCAGCGGCACCCGGTGCACTGCTATACCGCCCCCAGTTCTACAGCAGCGGCACCCGGTGCACTGCTATACCGCCCCCAGTTCTACAGCAGCGGCACCCGGTGCACTGCTATACCGCCCCCAGTTCTACAGCAGCGGCACCCGGTGCACTGCTATACCGCCCCCAGTTCTACAGCAGCGGCACCCGGTGCACTGCTATACCGCCCCCAGTTCTACAGCAGCGGCACCCGGTGCACGGGCTATACCGCCCCCAGTTCTACAGCAGCGGCACCCGGTGCACTGCTATACCGCCCCCAGTTCTACAGCAGCGGCACCCGGTGCACTGCTATACCGCCCCCAGTTCTACAGCAGCGGCACCCGGTGCACTGCTATACCGCCCCCAGTTCTACAGCAGCGGCACCCGGTGCACTGCTATACCGCCCCCAGTTCTACAGCAGCGGCACCCGGTGCACGGGCTATACCGACCCCAGTTCTACAGCAGCGGCACCCGGTGCACTGCTATAACCGCCCCCAGTTCTACAGCAGCGGCACCCGGTGCACTGCTATACCGCCCCCAGTTCTACAGCAGCGGCACCCGGTGCACGGGCTATACCGCCCCCAGTTCTACAGCAGCGGCACCCGGTGCACTGCTATACCGCCCCCAGTTCTACAGCAGCGGCACCCGGTGCACTGCTATACCGCCCCCAGTTCTACAGCAGCGGCACCCGGTGCACGGGCTATACCGCCCCCAGTTCTACAGCAGCGGCACCGGTGCACGGGCTATACCGCCCCCAGTTCTACAGCAGCGGCACCCGGTGCACTGCTATACCGCCCCCAGTTCTACAGCAGCGGCACCCGGTGCATGCTATACCGCCCCAGTTCTACAGCAGCGGCAACCGGTGCACGGGCTATACCGCCCCCAGTTCTACAGCAGCGGCACCCGGTGCACGGGCTATACCGCCCCCAGTTCTACAGCAGCGGCACCCGGTGCACTGCTATACCGCCCCAGTTCTACAGCAGCGGCACCCGGTGCACTACTATACCGCCCCCAGTTCTACAGCAGCGGCACCCGGTGCACGGGCTATACCTCCCAAGTTCTACAGCCAGCGGCACCCGGTGCACTGCTATACCGCCCCCAGTTCTACAGCAGCGGCACCCGGTTGCAGGGCTATACCGCCCCCAGTTCTACAGCAGCGGCACCCGGTGCACGGGCTATACCGCCCCCAGTTCTACAGCAGCGGCACCCGGTGCACTGCTATACCGCCCCCAGTTCTACAGCAGCGGCACCCGGTGCACGGGCTATACCGCCCCCAGTTCTACAGCAGCGGCACCCGGTGCACGGGCTTATACCGCCCCCAGTTCTACAGCAGCGGCACCCGGTTGCATGGGCTATACCGCCCCCAGTTCTACAGCAGCGGCACCCGGTGCACGGGCTATACCGCCCCCAGTTCTACAGCAGCGGCACCCGGTGCACGGGCTATACCGCCCCCAGTTCTACAGCAGCGGCACCCGGTGCACGGGCTATACCGCCCCAGTTCTACAGCAGCGGCACCCGGTGCACGGGCTATACCGCCCCCAGTTCTACAGCAGCGGCACCCGGTGCACGGGCTATACCGCCCCCAGTTCTACAGCAGCGGCACCCGGTGCACTGCTATACCGCCCCCAGTTCTACAGCAGCACCTGGTGCACGGGCTATACCGCCCCCAGTTCTACAGCAGCACCCGGTGCACGGGCTATACCGCCCCCAGTTCTACAGCAGCGGCACCCGGTGCACGGGCTATACCGCCCCCCAGTTCTACAGCAGCGGCACCCGGTGCACGGGCTATACCGCCCCCCAGTTCTACAGCAGCGGCACCCGGTGCACTGCTTATACCGCCCCCAGTTCTACAGCAGCGGCACCCGGTGCACGGGCTATAACCGCCCCAGTTCTACAGCAGCGGCACCCGGTGCACGGGCTATACCGCCCCCCAGTTCTACAGCAGCACCCGGTGCACGGGCTATACCGCCCCCAGTTCTACAGCAGCACCCGGTGCACGGGCTATACCGCCCCAGTTCTACAGCAGCGGCACCCGGTGCACGGGCTATACCGCCCCAGTTCTACAGCAGCACCCGGTGCACGGGCTATACCGCCCCCAGTTCTCAGCAGCGGCACCCGGTGCACGGGCTACACCGCCCCCAGTTCTACAGCAGCGGCACCCGGTGCACGGGCTACACCGCCCCCAGTTCTACAGCAGCGGCACCCGGTGCACGGGCTATACCGCCCCCAGTTCTACAGCAGCGGCACCCGGTGCACGGGCTATACCGCCCCCAGTTCTACAGCAGCGGCACCCGGTGCACTGCTATACGGCCCCCAGTTCTACAGCAGCGGCACCCGGTGCACGGGCTATACCGCCCCCAGTTCTACAGCAGTGGCACCCGGTGCACTGCTATACCGCCCCCAGTTCTACAGCAGCGGCACCCGGTGCACTGCTATACCGCCCCCAGTTCTACAGCAGCGGCACCCGGTGCACTGCTATACCGCCCCCAGTTCTACAGCAGGGGCAACCCGGTGCACTGCTATACCGCCCCCAGTTCTACAGCAGCGGCACCCGGTGCACTGCTATACCGCCCCCAGTTCTACAGCAGCGGCACCCGGTGCACTGCTATACCGCCCCCAGTTCTACAGCAGGGCACCCGGTGCACGGGCTATACCGCCCCCAGTTCTACAGCAGTGGCACCTGGTGCACGCTTATACCGCCCCCCAGTTCTACAGCAGCGGCACCCGGTGCACTGCTATACCGCCCCCAGTTCTACAGCAGCGGCACACGGTGCACGGGCTATACCGCCCCCCAGTTCTACAGCAGCGGCACCCGGTGCACTGCTATACCGCCCCCAGTTCTACAGCAGCGGCACCCGGTGCACGGGCTATACCGCC